AAATTTGGTGGTGGTTGCTACACAGCAAGGGTATCAAACGAGGGTGTGAAGACATTCGATTATAAAATTTTACTATGATGCAGATCACCCAAATTTTACTATATATGTTTTACACCCCCTTATTATTATAGATCTGCGGGAAATGTCTTGTGATACATTTTTTGTGCTAACAAACACGGAAAACAGAAAAGGTACTAGTACAGCTTTTCTATAAGAATTTCTCATAGAGAAAATTACTTGAAAATTTAATAACTTGATGATTAGATTATAGAACTGGCTAATAATTATCAAATATTGTTATTTTTTTCAGACAAGCATTCATTGAAGCCTTAATGTTATTTGGTGGTAGTGTACAATTATACTAGTTACAAAACTTTATCACGCAATATCATGTGATTGAACTTAAACTTGTTCATGAACTTTGAACCAAACTCGAACTAAACTTATGGATACAGTTCAAATTTGGTTCGAGTTCAACCATTATCTGTTCAAGTTAGTTCAGGTTCAAAAAACATTGATATGGCATGTTTAGAGATGGGCATTAGAAAAATTACGTTAAAAGAAAACGTTAAAAGGAATATTAATATTAAATTTTTACTTTTACATTTCATGCATCGATCTATATATCTTTTTTACATTTTCTCAACTATGTAAAGAACCTCTTCTCAAATAAAATAAAAAAATCGTGAAAGCACTTTAAAGAAATCGAATATTTCCCGTACAACGTAAAATTAATAATTAACCACATATTAAAAATTTTTCGGTTTTTTTATTCCTTTTTTTTTAATTAAGGATAACGAACGTACCCATCATTTGTAATTCTTTATGTAGTAGATTAAATTTGAAATTAAAAAAAAGAAATTTTGGCAGGGCTCTTGAATCTCGGTTTTCCTAGCAAAAGCCACCCGACTAGTTACTATGATCATTGTCTTACATCCAAAATTTTGATTTACCAAATGTGGGTTTGTCCACAATGTTTATTCTATATATAATACAAATGTGGAAAAAAAATTTATAAACTTTTTTATATTTAAAAATGTTAAAAGTAATGAAAGAGGAGGCCGCAACTAATACTACAATATCTTCTACTCCCACTGCTGCAGTCAACACCAACACCAGCACCAACACTAACACTCATAATAATAATAACAGTAATAATAATAGCTCATCATCTGAATCAAGTTACAATGTGAACCAAAGGTGTATATATTTATATTTTAATATTTTTTTAAATTTAATACCTTGCTACTTAACTAACTAATTAATTAATTAAGCGATAGCTCTAATGCTTTGCCTAAAATCGATCGCCCTCAGGAAAAAATGTATCATTACGCTGAAGGCGAAACAATCGATTGCGCCATATGTATTGAACAAGTTGAGTCAAAGCATGCTCAAGTTAGATTATCTTGTGGCCACATTTATCATTTGAATTGTATCGGGTTTGTGAAATATTTATTTATTTTCAACTTTTATGAAATAACAAAGTTAATTAATATTTTATAAATTAATCTAGATCTCATTTCAACATTTCTGGTAATAATGATATAAAGTTATTTAATTCATTCAACAAAATAAATAATATTATTATTATTAATTATAGGTGACTACAAATGTCCATACTGTCGGCTTGAAGTAGAAAAAATAGTTAAACAACCAAGAAGCTGGGAATTTCCCATAAATGGTCATCCTAATTCGCAAAATATAAACGACTCTGCTGAAATGCCTCATCCTGGTGAATTAGATTTCGCCAATTTTCAACGCGGTATTGAAATATTTAAAATATAATGTTTAAAAAATGTTTCTTGAGATATATTTATTCTTATTCACATATGTACTTGTACATATTAAATGATTTAATTAGGTGTTTTACAAGTCGTAAATTCCATTTTTCGAGGCAGACTTAACCTAGGACATCCTTTCCGCAATGATAACGATCCAGAAGATGATTTTTTTGAAACTGACAAGTAAGAATTTTTAAAAAAAAAAATAATATTAATATTATATTTATTTGTATATTTATTTATTTATTTTAGTGATGATAATTCTACTCATGGCCAAGATGAAATCAATCAAAGAAATAATGTCAATTTACTTGAAATTACAGACAATGAAGATGATGATAATTCTTCGGATGAAGATGGTGACTTCGACACAAATGATTCAATGAATCATTATCGAACATTCACTACTTCATATTATAATAGTAGTTCTGAAAATTTACCTTCACAAATTAGGAGAAGCAGTCGTATCATGCATTCACCAACGAATGATTCTAATAACAGATTTTATGATAACGTCAACAACAACAACAACAACAACAACAACAACAACAACGACGACGACGACGACGACGACAACGACGACGACAACAACAATAATTATGATGATGATGATGAAAGTGAAATCTTAGATAACGAGGATAATTTATCGAGGTCATTGTCATCAACTTTGAATCTTAATGATCATAGTAATACCGCTAATTCACATTCTAGATTAAATTCAACAAGATCTCACTCCCGTACAAGGTCACGTTTTTTTCGAGAATCTGTTAGGAATGGATTTACAGGCTTAATTAGAAACAGGTTGAATGCAGATCAAGAAAGAAGGGGTCACTTGAGAGATGTTCGTGATTTCAGAGATCTTAGTCCTAATTTTTCATCAAGAAGACGTGAAGGCAACAGACAATCAACTATTTCATCAAGATATCGAAATAATGATTCTTCTAGACGCAATATAATATCTTCAGAAATTTCAAGTAACCAAAATTCATCAGAATTAAGAGATGATAATAGATCATTCTATACTAATATTACTAATATCAATAATAACGAAAATCTTTATAACAACAATAATGATAACAACAACAACAACAATAATAATAATAGCATCAATCGCCGCCATAATAATACTAATTCATTTTTGTCACAAACAATTCATGATATATCACCAAACACTTCATTTAATCCTCTGCATGATAGTAATGCAGAATTCACGAATTCTTTATATCGTCATTCTACATCATCATCATCATCATCAAGATTAAGAAATACATATGTCGACGACTCATCGGCAACAGAAGAATTTATGGGATCATATAGTAGTAGTAATAGCAGCAGCAGTAGCAGCAGTAGCAGCAGTAGCTCATCAGAAAACTCTGCTGCAGAAGATGAAGATGAAATGATGTTTGAGAGTACATTCAACTGGGGTTTGTATAAATTATTCATTATTATTATTTAAATATAAATAGAGTTTTTTTTAATCATAAATTTATGATTCAGATGTTAGTAATGATATGGAAACTTCAGAAGATGATTCAGAAAACGAGCAAACATTCAGATGTTTTTCATGTAATTCTTCTATATCTTCTGAATCACCCACATTCTCTTCTTCATACGAAGATGATGACGATGACGACGACGACGACGACGACGACGATGATGATGATGATGATGATGATGACGATGATGATGATGATGATGATGATGATGCACCTGTTTCAACAACTGCTAGATCATACATTGAAACAAATGATAACCAACAACATTGGTTTAGACCATGGTCTTGGTATTATCAATCTACTAATATAAACACCAATAACAATTCTAATCTAGTTAATGATAGTGATGTCACAATCAGCAGCGGTGAAGATTTTTAAATTTATTGTTATTATTAGTATATACTTCATAACAATCAAATATCATATATATATGAAATGTAAGAAAAAAATTTATGACTGAAGTTATTAATTGATTGATTTCACATTTCTTTTTTTAATGGGCGGGAAAGAAAAAAATATAAATAAATATTAGAAGTGTGTTTTACAAAATTAATTAGATTAAAAAATTTTTATTATATATAATTTTTGAATAAATATAAAAATCATTTCAAGATTATTATTGTCACAAGTGAGACATCTATTCTCTGATTATATTTTTATTTTGCGTATAACACGTATTAACATAGTAAGCTTGTGCAAAATGATTCTTAGCTTCAAAACTACGATTGATTTTTTTTTGGTTTTATGTAAAATCACGTGACCACACTCTACCCTTAATTTGTTGTAACGTGAACTTAATTATAATTCGTTGAAACGAGTTTGATATTATTATATTATGTAACAATAGCGTCATGAATGGTAGCATTGTGTTTGCGTGTAAATTGCATGTAATTATTACGCTATAATTAATGTATATAAGCAACTCAAATTTCTATAGCTGTACATTTATTTCCATTTTGGGACCTACACGGCCAATAAAAGGTTCGACGACTAAGTGGACTTGCGCTGTATATTAAATACAAACAGGAATTTTAAATTTTTAAAATAAAATATACCTGGTTTGGTTCGAATGCTTTAAATCCGACTTGTTAGAGCTTTTTAATTTATATTTTATCCACTAGTTGGCTTTCTCGGACGAGGTTCATAAAAACCAAAGAATTTATTTCATTGTTGGCAAGTTTATGGATTCTGAATCTGATTATGATACCAGAGAAGTGATAAAAGTTCTTCTAAGTGATGAAGAGTAAGGAATTAGTCGAAGTTTCAAAGCCATTCAAAGAAGCATACATATCTTGGCGAAAGTGTTTATGTCTCATTTAGTATATTAATATATTAATTGATACAAGAAATTATCCAATCAAAATTATATCCTTCAATTCCGAATCATTTAATTAGATGATGTTTTTTAGTGATAATTTATTGAAGATGCTCAATAAACGATAAGGTGTACTATATAATGCGATGAATTCTTATTGACTATTCCGAAATTATGTAATAGTCACCCCTGTTTCTCACAAATTACATCCAGTATTTTAAACTCAGACAGGGCGTAAAACAGTTATCCTCTGGGCCATGTAATCCCTCCTCCCGATAGGGAGGGGCCCGCCAATGGGGTGTTACACATCAGTATAAACAAAAATATAATTGACCACATTATAAAATCATATTACTATTTTACAGTGCAAACATGATTTATACAATTTATTAGCTAACAAAACCTTTTTAGCTATGAAGCATTGATGTTACATTGAAAATTAAAAAATCAAAAAGTTTTCATGCAATAAATAAAGTGTTTTATATGTGGTTAAAGGTTGAATTAATTCATACACATATCACGATTGTGTCTTGTGTAGTAATGGTGGCCGAAATTATTTTAGCAAATCCGAAATAGTTTTACCTATTACTATAGAAATTAGAAATTTAGGCTCCTAAATTAGTGACGAAACTTAAAAATTGCCTAAACTATGGCAAACTCCTAAACTGTGGTTAAATTGTCAAACCTATGAGCAAAGTTTTATGATAATAAAACGGATTTATCGAAGTGCCGTCCAATCGTATGCCGGACATGTGATATATACAGTCTCTTTCGTTTTAATAATGTCCGTATTTTTTATTAAATATTTGCTTTTTTATTATTTATTTATATATTTATTAAGAAAGGGTCACCTTTTGTCCTAATTCGTTTTGTAATAATAAAATTTTTATAATTTAATAATAAAACAAAATAATTCTTTTTTTTTTGTTCAATAAAACACACTTTTGTGGTCGAAAATTAAACAGTAAGGTTTAATTTACCGCTTGGTTTTGGCCCGCAATTTAGGTTTCACCAACTTCGCTGCAAAATTAAGCCTAAACTATGGGTTGGGTTCTGGCCATCATCACTAGCCTTGTGTCTTTAATTATTGGGGGTGTCATACAAGTAGATCAACAAATCTAATTAATATCATTATGATAAATTAATATGTATGGTTTTTTTAATGGAATACTGAAAGGGAAAATTTACCATTTTAAAAAAAAAACCAGAATTATATTCAGAAGATAATCTGCTGTAATACTAAATATACATTTTGAAATGTTATTGCATGGCGAATTTCTAAGGAATCAATAATAAAAATAAAAATTCCAAAAGACCCATCACAATATAACAAATGTTGATGGTGACGTTTTCATCAATGGTGTTTGTTACCTTCAAAAATCTCTCTGTACCAATAAACTAGATATATTATACTATTCCATACTCAAATTTGGAAATGATATCTCTCTTTTTCACCAACTAGTAGCATTTTGAAAATACGATTTTATTTATTATTTTCTTTGCGTTGTCAATCATTAAAAAATAATAATTTAGTGATTGACACTATATGAGATTACTTAGTTTTGATTTAATTAGACTGTAACACCCCCATTTAATTATGTATTGCATCACGGATTGTCTTTAAGTTACGTCTTGCGTCAAAATTGTCTTGAATTACGTCTTGTGTCATGAGTTACATCTTGCGTCATGAATTGCGTCCTACATATCTTGCATCACGAATTGTGTTTTGCATCACGCATAACACCAATTGCAACTTTTAACTCAATATAACTGTTTTGCCTTTTATATTTAATTAATAAATTTAGGTAAATAAAACTTATTACAGGTCACTCCCGTTATAAGGACACTCTTGGGCAGACCTAAAAATGTCATTATAACGGGAATGTCATTATAACGAGATAAATTTTACTAAGTCCTAACATACTTGGGACAGAGTCCAAGTGTCCTTATAATGAGGTTGTCCTTATAACGGATGTCCTTATAACGGGAGTGACCTGTATTATCTAAATTTATTAAGTCACAAATTTTTCTTATTAACCCGAAATCGACTCGAACCCGATCTGAAATTTTCAGGTCGGGCTCAGGTCGGTCTTTATAACTTTTGGGCCAAACCCGAACCAGATCCGTTCGGAGCTTTATCTCAGATCATTAATTATTTTGTTTAAAAAAAATCCAAATTCAAGAAACCCTCCCATCATTAGTTATTTTGTTTGAAAACCAATTTAATAAACCTCTCAAAATTTTCTTTTTTTAAAAATGCTGTATTGTGTTTATTAAGAGGGCTTATACCATACTGCTTATAGCAGTATAGATGATGACTGAAATTAGCTTTAAAATTATTTCAGAAAAGATCAAGAGATTAAAAAAAATACGATCATGCACTTGTGGAGTAGAGGCCTGCATCGGGTTGGGCGAGTTGGTCTTAACATCAAATAACTTTGGGCTGGGTTCAGGTTGTAATTTATAACAATTATGACCCAAGTTTGACCCGAGTTGACCCGAATTTAAATGAATTATATATAAATTAGCCATTTTTTTCAATCCTCTTATGAAAAAATTAAAAATATTGGAGTCTGATGATGCCATCTGGGTAAAAAATGAAATTAAAAGACAATGTGGTAATCTAACAATTAATGATGATAGTGTTGATGTTGGCAGTAATAATGATGATAATTCTATGCAAGCAATATTATCAACTACAATTTCAACTTCAAATTCAAATGTAGAGTTGGGTGATTTTAGCAAATATTATGATGAAGATGATGACAAAGATGAAGTTGATTTGTATTTATCAACAAAAATACAAAAAGATGATAACTTTGATATTTTAGAATGGTGGAAAGACCATCAACATGTTTATCCAAGACTTTCAAGGCCTGCTGCCTATTATATGTTCCAGTACACCTAGTGAAAGAGAGTTTAGTGCAGCTGGACTAAAGCTCTGAACAGTTCAGTTTGGTTTTTTTTCAGTTTACATTTGAACCAAAAATTTCAGGTATCCTAAATTTGTTAACTATGCAAAAATAAACATAACATGGGGCATACTGCAACAAAACCAGAAAAAGTGAACATTTATTATGTGATATGAATAAGAGGCTGATTGTGGTGTGGCTGTAAAATTGACCAGTGTGACTGATGACATTTTGAAAAGTAATAATGGTGCTTGTTCATCATCAGGAAATTAATTTAGTGTAAACTTGTGTAAATCTTACAATGCCAATGTAATATTGCATAAATCTTATGGTGCCAATGTAAGTTTTACACTTTTTTATTATTAAACTTATGATTGACACATGCAAATTTTTTTTATATTTTCCAGATGATAACTTATGGACTTGTTAATTTTAATGCTCACTTTATCATACTAGAATGTGATGAATATAAACCATAACATGATTAATATAGGATTACCTTTATACAGTTCACTCTCTCTATAATGGCTTGCCTGTTTTGGCAAAAAAAGGCCGTTATAGAGAGTTTGCAGATCATAGTCATGTGATAAATTATAATGTTGATACAATATAAAGATTTTTATTTTATATGATAAAATATATTTAAAAAATAAATTAAATAATAATAAATGAAAATAAACTATTTATAATTTGCACACTTATTCAATATTAAAAAAAGCTATCTAGTGTGGATTGTTGTTGTGAGTTAAAATCAATTTTTTTAATTTTTCTTTTAAGACTTTTCAATA